AATCATATTCTTTACCCTCTTTTGAGTGCTATAAAGAACATTGATTAATCAAGAAATTGGTCCCTAATTTTGTGGTTAGGCTGGGAGGATACCGTCTAACACTCCAGAGCTTCCACTACTCCCTCACCTGAGGGCTAACAATCACATCAGTTTCTAATCAACTGGATCAAATTGGGTATTTTAATCTGTCACCTTAAAATCTCTAATTCTGCATCCAACAAAGTATATTTCCTTATTTATTTATACTCAATTCCATGGATGACATACTCCCCCATGAAATCAAATGTGATTCTCACTATGTTGTAGAAATTATAGCCCTTTCAAAACATATGTTTCTCAACACATTTTAACATTTCAATTGGCCAAATCAAAAAGTAAATTAAGACTAGAGTTCAAATCATCACAAATTATTGACATTTAAAACCATATAAAACAAAATCAATTCTTCATAAAACCAAATCTCATTGTAGGGAGAAAGATAAAGAAGACTACCCTGAATTCATTAGAATGATACGACAAAACACGGATTTCATTAATAAAAACAAGTTTACAAAACAAAGAAATAAAAGAACACAACTTTTCTCACAATTCTTCCCAAGCAAATCCCTATAAGCTCTCTTTAAGTCTTTCTTTCTTTACAACCACTCTCAACTCTCTCTTAGAAGTGTAATAAAGAAAAAATCTCTCACATTCTCTCTCCTCTTACAATCCTTGAAGAAAATCTATAAGCCCTTGCCTCTCTCTCTCACGCCACACACACACACGCACACACATACAAAACTCACGCCCCTCCAAAACTCCTAACACAAAAACTCCTCTTAAAGCCCTAGACTTTTTGCATGTCATAGACTTCCCTCTCTTTTATTAGCTCCTCCAAAAAGAATTCAAATTCCCTCCAAAATTTTATACAAAAGTCAACTCTTTTGAATTCAAAAGACATGTCCATTGATCAAAGAGGCATTTCCCTTCATAAAAAAATCATATAAAGTGTCTAGATGCATTAAATCACTCCAAGAGGTGTTTATAACAAGTGTCCCTTTTAAAATTCACCCAAAATTTGTCCTGAATCGTCTTGATCCTCCAAAAGTCTTCTCTAGCTCATCATGCGCCATTTCTCTGGATTTTGACGCATCATGTGCCAGTTTGGAGCATCATGCGCCACCCTGCAGCAACTCCACTGTTTTGCTCCATTTGGCTCTATTTCGCCCTGTTTCAGTTGTGTTTTGCTCCTAACAGATATACCTACAAAATAAGCATGAAAACAACCTTTCTTTAAAGTGTAATTTCATTCAAAAATATATGAGAAATGTGAAGTAGATTAAACATAGAAAGACATCAAAATGTGCGAAGTCAGAATTTTATTTCTTGCTCGTTTTTACTCCAGATTGCACCATTTTCGCTTCATTTTCTCCAAATTTTTTTTTCTTGTACCTGAAACCAAAAATATGCAAAATACCTTCCTTTAAAGTGTAATATCATTAAAAAATAATAAAATTTAGCTTAAAATATAAATGAAAAAGTAGGTAATTTTTAAGCGTATCAAAATCACCCAAACTTAAACGTTACTTGTCCTCAAGTAACCCTTTTACTCATAAAAATATGACTTAAGATAGAGATTAACTTATAAACTTCTATACTTTAGTTTTATAAATGAAATAATAATATTTAAGAAAAACCTTTAATAACTTAGATTCAAATTCTATGTCCAAGAGTACTTAGTAATCAAATTTAAGATTTCTGAATCTCTATTCATTTCAAGAAGAATTGCAATTTGTCATATCAAGAATACTTAGAACATTCATATGAAAAATAACTTCATGAAAACTTTACTAGTAATGCTACTAATACTCCAATATAAGTTTAGAAAATGTAATAAAGCCTTTTCTTTAAGTTGATTCAAGTGAAACCAATTTTTGATTATGCATCTCCTCAAGCTTCTCCTCACATTCTTTTTTTTTTCTTTTAGGATCTTTTCAATCCTTTCTTTTCTTTTTCTTTTTCAAGTGAGGATTACTATATATGGATAGCCTTTAATAATTTTGAACTTCACTATCCCCTTCTTAAAGTCAAAACTCCTTACATTTCTTCACTTTATAAATTCATATTAGTTTATGATTTTTCATAAAGCTTCATTCTTTTCTTCCTACATGAAACTCTAAAATATTTAATACTTTAAAAATACAATTTCCTTTACTTTAAATAGAAAAACATAGTCTTATCCTTCCATACAAAATATCTTTAACTTTAGAATTGACCTTCGTTATTAAAAAATTTTACTTAAATTTACCATAATATTTAGAAACATAAATATAGTCATTTAAAGTTAAACTCTAATATCCAATGTCATGTTAAATTAATTTTAAAAATATAGTTAATTGAGGACAAATAAAATTTAATTTGCTTCTTTTTTTAAAGAAATTTTTCTTCCCCCTAAACTTAAATTTTTAAATATTTTACACTTAAGTCCATAAAATGTAGCATGAAGAAAAAGTAAAAGTTGAATCTACTAACTACTACAACATTCTATCAAATTTATATAAGTGCATAATCAGGATAGAATGACTGCATGAGAAAGTAAATCAAGCCTAAAACATGCTCGCAATAATATTAAACTAAAAGGAAGTATACTGACTTTAAAATTCATTTTTCTTCCTACCCCCAAACTTGATTTTAAACATGTATAACATTCAATATAAAAAATATAAGCAGGAAGAAAAATAGTTTAGAAATTGTATCTATCACAAACATTTACAAGTATTTATCAAGACAAAACAATATGCAATAGAAAGTAAATCTAAACTAAAACATGCTTAATAACATGGAAAGACAGGTCTAACAAGCAGAACATGTATAAGCATAGGAATATATATATTTATGTTTTCTCCAAATCTTTATATTATTGTGACACAATCACAAACACACATGATAAATGAGGTCAATTCTTCCCTTAACTCATTACATCTCACTAACTTACTTTCAATTTCTAACGAAATCACTATTGAGTACTTATAAATGATTTTATAGATTCTAATCTCAAAGATAAGATTATCCCGATAAATTGGTTCTCGAGCACCAACCCCAGACATCGCCAAATCTCAATAATTAAGCACCTCTAACATTTATAAGGATAATGTAAATTCATCCACATGCTACTCATCAAATAGGTTAGCTACTCCTATCAAATGAAAACAAAGTCAGAAAATAAGTAACAAAATTGAGATGAAATTATCACTGATAAAATTAATGATGTCTTTTGTAAAACTCAAGTCCGGGTGAGACCTGAGTCATAGTGGACTTGTCAATCCAACTACTACAAGAGAATAGAAGTCTAGCCATAATAAGATGTTAAGGAATCACCTCCCTCATGACACACAAAGATCTAATCAAACAACTAACAATCCAACATCTACCAATCATTAATCAAACTGATAAATCCACACTAAAGTAAACACAATACAACACTAAAAATCATTACTCTCAAGCACACTAAATCAAACCACACTGAAAACTATGAGTTGCCTCCCATAAAGCGCTTTGTTTAACATCGTCAGTCCGACAAATGATTCCACCTAGATCAAAATTCCATTTAAGCAATTCTTAATCAATCACCCAATCTTTTCCACATCCAGGGATTCCTACAAAGTCCTCGAATTTAAAGTTTTCTTTCAGCTCTTCCTTTTCAGATTGATTCATATCCTCGTTCCTCATATTTCTTTCTAGATCCAATATTCTTCTAGTGATTTTCTCAATTTTTATATTAATATCATCTTTAAAATTTATAAGAAATGGATATTTATAAGATACTTCATGATCTCCCAAATTTTAGATCGGATTCTCTCTAGATAATTCAAATTCTGGATCAAATTCTTTTAGGTTACTCTTTTGTTCATGATTGTCTTTCAATTCTTCCCCTTGGTACTGAGTAAATGGTAGAGGTGATCTTTCTATATTTATCTTAGTTAAGGAAATATGTTTTTATAATTCCTTAGGAATTATTTCCAATGGTCTTTCAATCCCCTTATCCTCATTTCTTAACTCAAAGTTCTTTTGAAACATATTTTCGAATTCTCTTCTAAATATTAGTTCAAGAATTTTAAATTGCTCATCATTCATCTCCTTGGGTTTATCTCAGGGTCATTAGGTAAAATCTCTGGGGGTAACTGTTAATTGCATTAATAATCTGCCCCAGCTGGTTTTCAATATTGTTTATTGCGACCTCTTGATTTTCTAGCTCACTCTTCATTTAAATTACAACCTCTTCTAACATTAATTCCTTCTCCTAATCCTGTGGGTTGGAGTTAAATTCATAATCTTCCTCCTCATCATCATGTCGCTCCTCCTCCTCATTCTCCTCGACATCACTCATATGTCGTTTGATTCGGCGATCAAAACTATCCGTCAGAAGTGCTAGGCTATCTAGAACCTTTTGCTGACCTTCACGCACCCATCAGAGCTCTTCATTCATCACCATGACCCATCTGACAAGCTCCTCATGCTAAGCATGTAATGAGCTAGGGCTATCGACAACGACATGAGAGCGTTCGACCTCAAATGCTGTCTCTTTTGCTCATAAGCCATACACTCTCATCTTCTTCTTCCTTGTTACTTGTGTCCACAACTTAAAATCAAACTGAATAGTAGTAGACTAGCTACCAGTGTTGCGGGTGGATCATGGGATTTGGCTAATCTTGTTTGTTTCTCCCAATGTTGCCCATAGTCCTAGTACATAATAAAATTTAAATATTAATTTACATTTTAAACATTAATAGATATTAATAGCCACCAACATGGCGCCCGCTAGCCGATGTGCGTAACTCTTACTAGCAAATCACGTGGAGGGGAAAAGAAGCCTGGGGAGGAAGACGACGGGCGACGTCCGTGCTTCCTGAGCTCTTCAGACAGCATTTTTCTTGGGCTTCTCGGCGTAGCAGAAGCGCCTTTGCTCCCATTGCTGCGTTCGACGGAAGAACGAAAGGTGATTTTCGAAGGAAGCAATTCATCTGCATTTTATGGAAAGGAAATCGATATTTTGGGTTTTAACGGGCTTGCTGAGGTGTTATCTGGGTTTCGGCTTGCATGCAAATGCTGCGGCCTATGTTCTACTTTTGTTTAAGGTTTTTGGTATCTTTGATGGTGACGGTGCTTTTCAGGTTGACGGAATTCTTAATTACTGAAGATTTTCTGGGTCAGGTTTTCGATTCTTTCGTGCAAATGTATCTTTTGTAATGCTGAGTTATTTCACAATAACTTTTGTATGATCTTTTTACCGAGTTTACGTTCTAGTTCTTACTTTTTATGGTAGTTGAACCGCGATGAATTATGGGATTCCGTTATTTTAATAACTGGGAGGTTTTTTAAAACTGTTTTTCAGTTCTGAGTTTTGATCCTTGTGCCTTTTGGAGGTTTTTGAAAACTGGTTTTCGGTTCTGAGTTTTGATCCTTACACCTTTTGGTTATCTTGCAGCTAATCTTGATTTTATCCTTGAGGGATTTCGCAAAGGTCGCTTCTCTGTTGCTAAGAATCATGATCCTAGCTGCAGAGCTTTTTGTGGAGACAGATTTTCTCTTGACATAGGGAGTATTCATGGCGGGCAAGATGAAGACGTCTCTGCTTTCCATCTTCTTAGAGAATCAAGAACTCCGAGGAGAATCCATATTCAACACGATGAAGTTTGCAGTACTACCTGTTGCAAAGGTTTTCACAATGTGCTTTATGGGTTTTCTCATGGCCTCCAATTATGTCAATATTCTTTCTACCAATGGCCGTAAGCTTCTTAATGGGGTACGTAGAATCTATGAAAACCTTTGTTTTTAGCTTCTTGAAGATCGGCCTTGTTTCAACTTATAAAGAACACTGCTGCTCTGCTGGTTGTGTGTATACCTAATAGAAATCGCTCTTTCAGGAGATGGCTTTATTCCATACATTTAATCATTCAGCTCTCATTAATGCATTTCAAACTTTGATAACTTAAAGACTAAGCATAATGGGCAGAGTTTTGGTGCGGTAGATTTAATTCAGTAGATCAAGCCTGGTGGCTGAATGACACTTATATGTTGGTTTTGTCTTTAAGGAGTCTACCAATCCATCAAAACTTGTGGGAGCGCCTTTGTCATGATTACGTTGAACTTAAGTAGTTTTCCTATAAAGAATTTACTAAAATTTTTTGTTTGAGCAAGCAATTAATTTGGTTGGTATCTTTTTAACATGTAATAGAGTATCATATTATGACGGTAGTATTTGAAGATTATGATTGTATAACCGAATGACTGCATGACTGAATTCAAGATAGTATGCTAGCCTATTACATAGAAGAGCGAATTATAGTTAGAACTTCTCACAAGTCAACTCAGCCTAAATGATGACTTGACAAACTCAATTTATCAAAATTGCTGTACTTACCCTGTAGACGAATTCATCAAGCTAAGTGATGAACAACTACTCGCCTACTCAGCTTATTATCACCTCCCAAAAGAGCCCTTAAGAGAGGTGGGCAGCCCAGGACTTAATACTGTTTTTCGGCCCTACACCTAGTCGATGTGGGACTATTTGTCCGTGACATTCTCCTCCACCCAATCACGTGACGCCCTCGTCACGGATCGACTCCACCGAGGGTCCCACTGGACCATGGAGAGTCCACACCACTGACAGACAGTAATCTGCTCTAATACCACTTGTTACCTCCCAAAAGGGCTCTTAAGAGAGGTGGACAGCCCAAGACTTAAATACTGCTTTTCGGCCCTACACCTAGCTGATGTGGGACTATTTGTCCGTAACATTATGCTGCCTTGCACACTTCAATTCCGAGGACAATTTCTTTGGTGGAGAGCCCTATCTAGCTACAAATCATGCTACAATATTTACATTTTATCTTTTTAAGCAAAGCATAAATATACAACTTATGTAACAATACCAATTCAAATTAACCTATAAATAAGGTGTTTGTACCCCAAAAATGTTCTGCATGAATCTTGAGATAATCTAATGATCCAGTTCAAAAAGTAAATAACAAGAATCCCCTTAGATAAAATGCCACAAGTCCTCATGAATCCGACCGGCTGTAGAGTACCAACCACCCGACCAAATGTTAGACGATCAAAGGGCCACCTAGGCCGACCAAGGATAAGCATCCACGCCAAAAACCGGTCAAAAGGTCTAACACCCCCAACAGTCCAACAAATATCAATGCGAAGCTCTTTTGACAGCTCCCCTAAAGACTTCCAAAGAACTCTTGAGATCACTAAGGAACAATAATCAGGAAAGTCGACCAGTCGACCTACAACTGACCAATAACCATACTCCAAACCGATCGGCTTCCCAGAGCAAAAGGCCGACCTATGTCCAGAAAAAATAACGACCAACACCAGCTTAGTCGACCGTCCTATGGTCCTGCCAAGCAGAAGGTTCAAGCACGCTAAATGACAAATAATTTATTAAAGCGGTTATAAATACGAAAAGGTGCCGCTTAAACTGTAACACCCTTATTAAAGCAAAGGTAAGATATGTAGTTTTACACCTTTTGTCCCATTGTCTTCTATAAATAAGGTAGTCATAACATGTATTAGGCACTTTTTGGCTTTTGGGCTTTTAGTTCTTTTCTCTAGACTCATCTTCTGTAGGGAGAATTCACTCTCCTCTCTTGTAACCCTCATTTCCAATATATAAAATGTTTCACAGAACTCGGGAATACCCCATTTCGCCCCTACGGGGCTAGTTTGTGTGCACTATCTTTCCTCTCTTTCTCGTTATATCTCTCTACCTCTTCCTCGTGGTTCCTACCCTTCGATCTTTGGGCACCTCTCATAGGACAAATTTGGATTCAACATCCTAAAATGTGTGATGAATATGAGGCAAGCTACCAACAAGAATGGAAGCAACATCAACGAAGAGATACATCTCATAGACCCTCCTAATAAGGAGCACACTAAGGAGTTCGCACAACAACAGTTACAGGAGTTAAAAAATCTGATTTCATCGTCTTCTAGGTGGCTTTGGCTTGAAGGTGAGATCACAAAACAGATGACCGATTCCCAATGTTCTAAACACTCTCAGAGAAAGTAAACCGACGATATCCAACAACACTCGACCAATTCCGGGCAGTTGACACCTAGCTCAGCAAATGAAGGGAGTATCATATCAAAATTAATCATTTGTGCTATGATGCATGAATCCTTTTAATGTTTTCTCAGGTCCAATTGACTCTCGGGGAACTTGAATCCAAGTAGCAGTGCCGACAGCGACCCTAAAGAGGTTCGATCGACATAATAGCCCACCAAGCTTCCACATCATGAATCTTGGTCTTCAGACTTGAATCAGATAAAACCCTGAAGGTGGTTCTCTGCCCAGTAACGACAAGCTCCGCTAATGATACGACGTAAATCATCCCAGTAGTGAGTTTTAATGGTTATCGCCGCAATGATAGTGATAATATCCACCTAAGTCCTGGTGAAGGGTGAGACTCGACCGAAACAACAATCTGATCAAACAACTGAGACATTAAAGCATGTAAAACGCGAGCCAGGTGCCAATATCATAAAAAACTGACAACGACGACATAGACGTCCTAACACAAAATCCGACCTATAATGCCAAGCATCAAAGAGCCAATCTCAAAGCTCAACATGGATAAAGCTCTGGAGGTGGTTCCCAATCCAGTAGTGACAAGCTCCGTGAAAGGTACAACGCAAATCACCCCAGCATGAGTCTCGTTGGTTAGCCGACCGAGGTGACAAATACAACCGAGCAAATAAGACAGACAATGTAAGACTTATGCCGGGCCATGACATATAAAAAATCGACGATCTTTCTATAGATCCGAGTCATCGACCAATACAAACGTTCATCACCAAACAATTGTTTCAAGAAAATAATGCAGTGAAGGTAACATAATAAATGGAAGCAAAGGTATGCAAAAATGACCGAGAAGTTTCATTCATTTCTAAATGTAAAAATGTACAAGCCTTTTTTATGCAAAAGATTTCATTTACACAAAAATATCTTTACAAAATTTTTTTTCTGAAAAAATCTCATAAGTTTCAGAAGGTCGACTGGAGTTCAGAGTGGACCCTCCATCACCTCCTATATCCGAGTCATCTCCGGAAAACCCATCCGAGCTAGTATACAATGCAGCAGATTCATCCAAGTCCTCAAACTTTGGATCGACAAGGCTCAACCGAATGAACCGGTCAATCGTCATGATGTTGTTGGCCCGAAGTAGCTCGCTCAAATTTTTTTCCTGCCGTGGATGGGAGGAGAGTGTCTCTAAAAACTCCTCGGTCTTTAGGGTTGTCAGCTTTACATGCAACTCCTGAGCTTCTTATTCGACGATTGACAAACGATCCGATAGAATATTAATCTCCTCCGTCACTTCCAATTTTCTCTCGGTTATCACTGCTCACTTCTCAACCCTTAACATACATCGAGTTTGCGTGATTTTACCTATTTTTTTCTGTATTTTACATTATAATTTTATTTATTTATCATATATTTGCGCTTAAGTAAGATATTTTATTCATGTTGTGCATGATGCAGGAATTGATTACGAACAAGTTGGAACAAAAAAATCAACAGAAAAGCATCTCAAAGGGGCGTAACTATGCCACTTATCGATCATGATCAACGTGACCATGCTGGAAATGACGTGACCACGCCATATGGTGTAGTGGTGCGACATGACCACGCCACAATCGGGCGCGACCATGTCGGAAATGATGTGACCTAGCCATATGGTGTAGTAGGGCGGCTTCACCATGCCGGTCCAGGTAGTCTAGCGGCGTTACCACACCATAAACAGGCGTAGGAAACACTTTAGGAAGGAAATTTATTGGACCAAACCAAGATTCTTGCGATAAAATACAATCTTAGGGCTTCTTGGGTGGTTCTGAATCAGACAAAGCTTGGAGGCTGAAAGAAGAGAGTTTGAGAGAGATTTGGAGAGATCTCTTGAGTGCTATTTTCATTCTTGGGTGAAAATCTTGAAGAGACAGGTTTTTCCTTACTTTGTGAATTGTGAGAGAGTTTGTATGAGAGGGAAATGTACCGCCTTTACAAAGGAACCAAGCTCTTGTAAGTTTTTCATATTGATGGCGCTTGCAATGGATTTTCATATGGTGTTTTTCGCTATGGTTTTCTCCATAATGAGCGCCTAAGTATTTTTTTGTCTCTGTGATATAGGGAGTAGTGGATTTATTATAAATTTTCTATAATTGTTTTTCGTTAATCATTTTTCTCGTGCTTTTGTGACCTATATTGTTTGTTAACCTCTGAACTTAATTTACTTCTAGTTTGGTCAACTAGAAAGTTAAAACGTTTCATGAAACTACGACCTCTAATAGTTGCATAGTGAAAACAAAGAGTTAATTACAAAATTTAGAGAGGATTGATATATTTCAGTGGAATTCTGTAATTATCCTATGGGATCAAAAAAATCATGCAGAATGCCATGAAGATTAAGAAAGCCTCAACTTCATGGATTCTTCGTTTTGTTTTGATCTAGATATAGGCATAAGAAGTACTATGTTCTCGATTGATAATAATGACGTAGACTATTGCATGTTGGAAAAGATCAAGAAGTATCAACAAGCCGAGAACTTGGTATTCCTTGCGAGATAAATTTACTTGAAATGTCAGATTATCTCAGCCTGCTATATAGTTGAAATTCAGTTGCATATAACGGAAAATTTAATAGCATTAGACTGTTTTTTTATTTAAAATGTTTTCCCAAAATTTCACTCCTAATTTTTTTATTATGACAAGAATACAATGCATCTAAACCAACAAATGAA